TCTGCGTCTTGGTCTTGTACACTTCCTTGTCATTGAGCATGAACTTGCAGTACGGATCCGAGAAGCCATTGCGGTCTGCAGCCGGAAGATCTGCCGCGTCGAGCACATCAACTCGGAGGGTACCCTGGTTGTTGAAGGACTCGCTGGGATCGAGACGCATCTTGACAGGAATGTACTTAAGCATGACCGTGATCTTGTTGTCGCGTCCATGCTTGTCCTTGAGCGTGAACTGAGTGGGCGTGTGTAGAGACCTTCGTAGCGTATCGATAGTATTTCCTGTGAGCTTAGCAATGACATGATCTCCATGGTCGTCGCCGTCATTGTCAACGTGCTCGATAATACGGAGGGTGATCTTGGAAAAGTCGAGCTCGCGGATCATTGTGTCGCCAACTGATCCTTGTTAGCGCGATAATTGTTAGCATTTCGGTAGAACTTACCATCATTGAAAGTCATCTTGTTGCTCCGGATCTTTGCGCTAGAATAGCTGGCATACGCCATGTCATCCATAATAACATCGACGTGGCCACCGGTCCTTGCGAATTCTCCTTCGACAAGCTTGAATACAAGCAGACCAGATTCTGCATCGCGTTAGCCGAGACTCGTAAGTATAATATAAGAATACGAGGTAAGGTTGCAAGTCAGGGTCGACCAACTCAACAAGCCAAACTCCACTGTATCCTCATAGTCGCGATGGAACCTACCGTACTGCTGCAGATCGTCCGCAGTAAGCTTCAGCTTCTCGATCTTCGGCTTTTCAGGAATTGACTCTGCTTGCTGGAGTTCATTCTTCTCGAGCTCCTTGGCCATGTCCTTCTCGTTCGATTTGAGCGATGAGATGGTACCGGCAGTCTCTGACCTAGCGATGGTAGAAGCGTTGGATACAATGCGTTGGTGGCTGAGTTTAGATCCATTAGAAACAGGCCGGGCAGCGCCGTTGGATTTGGTCTCCTCTTCTTCCTCCTCGTCCTCTTCGGGGTCCCATGTGGGATACGTAGGGTAGAAGGAGCAGGTGTAGTTGAGAGTGCCCTTGGGCTGAGAGGAACCAGCCAATCGGAGAGCTCCTGCAGTAGGCTGCTTCTGTTCATGTTCGAGGTACTCGCCGTTATCGTCTTGTTGGATGTAGTCGCCAGCTGAAAGCTCGATATGTCCTAGGGGACGGTCCTTGCCGAGGTTCTCCTCGTCCATGACCTCTAGTGTAAGCTTCTCGCGGACGCTGTGAACAGGCACGTAAATAACCTCATCCCAGTCAGGGTCTAGGTTGTTCTTGAAAACGACGGTTCGGCCTTTCTCAATGCCAGAAAGTAGCACACGGACGTACGGATCCGACTTGCCTAGGGCTTCGAGGTTACGGAGCCCGCGCGCGCTCTGGCAGTGTATGCGCATCACACCAATAGGAGTCAGATAACCACTGGAGGAGACGGCCCCCTTCAGAGCAACTGGTTTCCAGTCGAGCTTCATCTTCACGCGACCGCTTGATGTACCTGCGAGGTTGTACCACTCATGACCCTTGGCCATAAGTTCGAGCATGTCATCCATGGTGATTTGGTAGGTACCAAGAATGGGATCAGCCGCGAGATCGCGGTCGTCTTTGATAACCAGACCCAGCTTAGCCTTCTTGCGGTCGGTGATGAGCATTTCCTTTGTCGCGTCTGGCCAGATGGGTTGGTTTGTCCTCTTCATGACTCGTGACTTGTGGATTTCATGGCCGTTGAGGAGAAGGACGGCATATGGGCTGAGCTGCCCGATCATGCTCTTGCTACCGTCCATATCCTTGGCCTGCTCGACAGTGAACTTGCAAATACCCGTACGCGACTCTGGTGGCGGCTCCTTGGTGCCGTCTTCCAGCGTGGTGCCTTCAAGAACAGGGAAGAAGCGTACATCCGCTGTCACAAGACCTCGAGCACGACCTCCTGACATGACCTCTAGCTGCATGTTCTCATGATCAGGGATCTCCTCTAGCTGTTCAAGCGCAAACGTAGCAGTGCCGAGCTCCTTGTCCTTCCGGATGTCGTTGTAATCGAAGAGATTGATGGTGAGCGAATCTTTCAGGGAAGTTACGATGATGTTGACTGTCTCATTCCAGCGGGGATTGGCGCTCTCGTGCACCGTCTTGGTACGCGCAAGAACGTTGCGGTTGTTGATGGAAACCGTGGCGTAGGGGTCAGGAGTACCAGAGAATTTGTCGGGGTTCTTGAGGCCTTGAGCACCGTGGAAGTGGACTTGCAGGACTCCGATAGCTTGATCGACAGGGTTGCCCGCAAGCATCTTGGCGATTTCGATGGGGAACACGTTGGGGTCGTACATCATCGGGCCCAGGTTAGCGTGGATCTGCTCCATGATGAAAGTTTCCAATCCGGGGATGAAGTTGATATCGAAACCAAACGTCTCTCCGCCCAAAGGCTTGCAGACATAGTCGATGGTTGGGCGCTCCAGGAAAGACATCTCGACCTTTTCGATGTGAGGGAACGGAAGTTGCAACTTGAACTTCAAGCGCATCAGACCGGAAAAGGCCATGTCTTCTACGATAACATCCAGACCCTTGCTGACAAGACCCTTTCCGATGCGGATCTCTAGGACGATCTTCGGGTTAATCTTGTTCTTGATCTGCCTCGCGGTAAGATCAGCTACGTCATTGGGGGTGAAGCTGAACTTCCAGTCCATAAGAACGATATCGTCTTGTGTCTTTGGGTGCGTCTTCACGTGCTCCAATCGCGGAGGCTTCGTTCCCAGGACGAATGTCTTCATCTTCAGACTGTCCAAAAACGCCGGGGTCGATGTCGAGAGAACCTGGTCCACAGTGCCTACAATCGTGTCACACAGAACAGGCGCATAGATGGGCCAGAACTTGACGAGGAAGCTGTTGATCCACTCCAAGCTCTCCGTATCCGTCTCCAGCTTGTTCTTGGCCATCTCGCGGTTGAGGTCGTCCCGCGCATTGCGGCGCACGCGACGGATCGAGGTTCGATAGTAGGTGCCACAGACGGCCATGAAGATCATGATCCAGCCCAGTCCACCGCCGAGGATACCGACGACCCACGAGCTCAAGCATGCGAAGATGATGATGCCCGTATTGTGGTACCAGTCGCCGAAGAACTTGTCCTCTATCCTGCCTTCCAACCATGTCTGGTGGTCGGCCAGGGAGGCTTCTTCCTCCTCCTTGTTCTCGGAGCCCGGCATGCCGAATCGCGGCGCCCATCCAACTCGTTCCCACCGCTCATCCTCGTCGAGCTTTTGGGGCGCGTGGCCATTTGCTTTGGCTTCTTCTGGTGTCTCAATGGCGCCCGCTTTGGTGGGCGAGGGGAGGTCGTATTCGCCTGGGCCATTATCGTCGGCATCCGATACGAGGGCCGTCGCGTTCTTGTTGCGCTCGTGATGGAAGTTTGCGGGGACGCGCGCTCGTGCCTGCGCCCGCTTCTGCTCAGGACTGGCGTCGGGATCAAATTGAAAGGCAGCGCTGCCGCCCGCTTGCGCCTGATCAACGAGGGATTTCTCCGCCTGGTTCGCCGTAATCGAGGAATTGGGGTCTTTGGCGGCGTCGAGCAAACCTTGCTGCTTCAGCTCGGATTCACGCGATGCGGTAGCCATGTCGGCGATGTGGAGCGGAGGTCCGACCCGCTGGCGTTGCGCTGCAGTTGCAAGATGGACTGGCGTGCAATTGGACGCTCGCGATCGAGGGAGGGGCGTGACTTAGGTGAGAAACCCCAGGAAGGTGAGTGCAGAAGATAGAGCGAGCGGCTGGGTGATGTTGGGGGTTCTGGAAACCTGCTGTTTGGCTGGTTAGCTTTCCTTGGTAGACGGCGGCAGCTATGCTTTAGCGATACTGCAGCTGTACGCGGATGGCTGGCACTAACTCGCCGAAGTAATTCCTGGTTGTTGGTAGTGACGGAAGAAAAAAACAAAGGAAAGGCCGAAGGAATGACTAAGTTCAGGGTTCACGTAGTATATTGGAACGCGCAAGCGGTCCTACTCGCAATCAGGAGCTCGTGAGAGGTGTTGGTTAGCAGCTCCGTCGAACGATGACTAGCATCCCTCACGGCGATCCCCGAGCTCCCCTGCACAGCCACGCTTATGACATAGCGATCCACGCGTAATCAGCGACAAGAACCATTCCGCTGTTTTCCCATTAATCTACTGCCGTCAGCCAGTCGCGCGCCGATGATGAGAACCCCGTCTACGATTCCGTCTATCGTGACACTACTCGTCTGCAGGGCTCGCATGGTGTTCCTGTTGATTTGGCTAATCAGTAGCTCAGGGTCCATCCCGCACTGCTAAATGGTGCCAAACGTGCGCCTCCGCACTATCTTGAGCAACCCGTCGCACCCATACAAGAAACTCGGCAGGTCTCTGTAGGCTACACGGTGATGACATATCTACATAGAACAACATAATGTTACTGTCGGCTTCTACTTGCTCTATTGGTATCTTCATTTCTCTACGATTAGAGTGGTTATGCTCTAGTAATTCCAGTCTTGTTCCCGAGGTTTGTACGTCGATCCGGCACGTCAATGGTCTCCACCACATCCATCCCGCACACCAAAACGCGTGGCTCCGCAGCGTCTGCCATCCTTGGGAAACTGTTACGCTGCCCTATCATCTCCGAGCACATTTCCTCCACCTTATACAAAGAAGAAACTGAACAGGTGTCTCGGGTCTTACCGCAACTTGTCAGAGCGAAGACTACTGCAATACCTGCATAGGAAAACAACCGTGAAGCCTGACCGTCATATGCAGGTGCAGCCAAGCCTCATACTCATGTGCCACACAGTGTATTGAATTCGATACCACGTCTATGTATTACTAGCGGCCTTTGTCATACCACATGTGCATCGTCAGAGTTGCATTTTACAAGCTGAATGCGACCCACCCTACGCCACAGATCATCCAGACCAATTCACCCAACTCCATAAACCCTGTCATCACCACCCACACGGCATAGCCGATGGGTTGAAGAAACCGTTCGAGAACCCACTAACCGACCCGACTTCATAACCCGTTTCTGCTCAAAATTCCTTAAGCAGCCTCATAAACTGGCCCCTAACACTCTGACTCCTGCTATAACAAAATTTTTAGTAAATGAAATCCCACTAAGCAAACTAGCCGACAGGATATTTCCGGCCAGACACACCGTCCTGCACCCCAGACACATACCTATGCACGCGGGGATCTCGCACCCGGTCTCGATCTCGATCTCGTTCGCGACTGTCGTCTCTTGATCTATCTCGGTCTCGGTCTCGGTCGTCGTAGCTGGAGGATTTTCTGTCGCGGTCGCGTTCTCTATCCCTATCTCTCTCGCGATCATGGCGATCATCCCATTCATCCTTCACTCTATCATGACTGCGTGTCCGGGCTGAATCACGTGTACGCTCCCGCGGATATTCGACGTCTTCCGAATGGCGGCGATGGGAACGGCTGCCACCGCTGCCCATGGCGTAAGGGTCGCGGTCGCGATGATGGCGTTCCCTATCGCGATCACGTTCCCGTTCGCGCTCACGGATATAAGGTGGTTCGGCGTCGCGAGGTGGACTTACAGGGTGTACGGTCTGGGGACCCCATCGCACGCTGTTGGATGGGACAGGTCTGTAGCTGGTACGTGGGGGCATGACGGGGCGCGAAAGGTAGTATTGTTGTTTTTGTGCTTCGCGCTGGGCTTGCGCGACTTGAGTTGCGAAGAGTGGGGATTGAGTTGGTATATATGCGTGTTGGGGAGATGTTGCTGTTGAAGTTCCTTCGTACACTCGGACTGGATCATGTTGGTTTGAGTAGCGGCGCGCCTCATTGTAGGCAGGGAAATACCCTGGCTGCGATATGGGCGGCTCGTGAGATCGATGGGTACGCAGTACGGGATTTTGTCGCCGGGGAGATGGGCGATCTGGGTCGGAGTCGGAGTCTGTTGTTGATAACGAGGGTTCGCGTCGTGGTGGGTGTGGACGCTTGTGGGCAGAGTATCGAGGACCTGGTTGAGGAACGGGCGCAATGGGTGTGGCATCTTCATCTGAGTACTCGTCACTTCCATACCCGGTGCGGCCTGGGACATTCCTCTTTCCGGCGATTCTAGTACTCAAAGGGTTCAGCATATGCCTCACCCTTGAGATAATAGCCCCAGGCCTTCCATGGTCATCTCCGGGCCGTGGGGATTGCTTCGAGACATGGCGCATGAAGGTCGGACGTGGTCTTCCATTCCGATAGAGCGGGTCTTCAAAGTAGCGGTACGCGCCGGACTTCTCATCAGCTGAATTTCCCTCGCTGTCCGTCGAAGTTCGCGGTTTTGGCTCTTCAGCCACACTGCCCCCGTTTAGCTCCTCCTCCGCTTCCTTCTTAAGCCTGGTAGCAACGCTCTGATACCACGTCTCCATCGCATCATCGGGCTTCTCTGGGAAACACTCCTTTGGTAGGATTTTGGGGAAGGTGCCTCCCATTTCTAGATCGGGTATGTCATCCAGCTCCACCGCCTTCTGTAGGAAAGGCACATGCTCTTCTGGCCCTAACAGTAACTGTATCGTCTGCCATGTCACGAAGCCGTCCTTCTTTAGCGCAGGTATGGTTGGACTCGAGTAGCCGTCGTCGTCTGGCGCTGGTTGCAGGCTGTGGAATGCGCCGAGTGACCGATATATGAATGCGACAGAGGATGGTGGTGTGTCTGTGAATAGTACGTCGTAGTCGCCCCCAACACTGCGATACCAGGCTGCGATTTGCGACGGCGTAAGATCAGGCGAGTCGCTTGATCCGAACTTCTTGCTCTGCCGCAGCGCATCAGCTTGACTTGTCCCCTTTGAAATCTGGAAGCTACACTCAACTCACAATGACGTAGGCAATGCCCTTCAGCAAGCGATCGAGCAACGGGGTCCCGCATTTATCTTCCTTGAAAAGGTAACCCCAGTAATCGTATGCTTCGCGATGCGCCGCATCCGCTTGCGCTAGGTTCGCGGCGCGTTCTTCGTGGAACTCGTTATGTGGCATCGGTTCGGGTGACATACTGTCGATATGTGGGAGCAATCGCTATAAATGTGCTCGGGCATACAGATCGTCGGCTCGATGCTCGGAGCTGACGCTCGTCAGGTTGCAGTCGGTCAACCCCGCTGCGTGCGACGCGGGATGCAGGCGTGTGGAACGCGACAAACAGCGTCAGGAAGCCACGGCTGCTTATATCAAGTGCTGCTCGCCGCTATCAGCAGGCATCATCGCTATGTAATAGGCAGATGACTGGCCGACTGCGCCTCTGCACTGCGCAGGAACCGGGAGATTGGTGGGGGTTGTTGTTCGCAGGTCGGGCGTGGCTGGTGACATTCTGACATCACCGCGGTAGGGCCGCAAGGCTGAGATGGCGTGAGGCCGCAATCAGGCACCATTTCTTGGAAGTAATAAGCTGCAGATGGGTCAAGTCTTTGGGTTGACATGGATCTTCTCCATACTGGAGATTAGCTTACTACTAACCACATGTTGCTAGCTTCAAACGCAGCGTATGATGAACTCAAGCAACAACAAATGGATCATTATGGATTGTATTCAAGATGCATTCTGTCTATGATAGTACGTAAATCATAGACATGCGTGACTATTACGCCCCATTACCGCCTGAGTCTTTTGCTCAAGTACGTTGCAATGCAGTCATCCCTCGTTACCAGTGGCTAAAGAAGACCTGTATCCTCAAAAAATCTATAAGAACTGTGAAGAAAATGTCGACAACCACTCTAGTGCTCGAGTAGCCTGAGCGAACCCTGGACGACGACGTTCTCGAGGATAGAACCCGGGGGAATGTCAATGGTGGAGCCCTCGGTCGCAACAATGATGACAGTGCCCTTGAGGGTGACACCACGGCCAAGGTTGACGGGACCGGTGATGGTCAGATGGTCAAGCTCGACAATCTTGGGGATGGAGGGGATGCGGGACTGGAAGCTGGAAACCTTCTTGAAGTCGCTGCCGAGCTTGATCAGGGGGGCAGGGCCGAATCGGTTGGGGTCAATCACCAGCTGGCCGTGCTGCAGAGTGTAGAGATCCGACTTGACGAGCATCAGGTCAGAGCAGGTCTTGACTGGCAAGAAGCGCTTTCGGGGCACGTTGACACCGTGTGCGTTCTTGAAGTGCTTGATGGCGGCACCGACAGCGGTCTCGAGCTGGAGAACGGAGATGTCGGCCTCGCCCTTCTTGTCGGCCGGGATGGACTTGCCGTTGGGGATGATCTCCATAGCAAGCTCGTTGGCCTCAACAACACGCTTAATGGCCGCGAGGTTCATCCAGATGTTGTTGGTGTTGAAGTACTTGAACTTCTTAATCGACTTGAACTCGTTGACGTGCTCCTTGGGAACCTGGGCGATTTCAAGCAGACGGACGGAGCCCTCGTAGTCAATGATGGTTCCACCCTTGACGTCGGCCTTGGTCTTGTCTGTCAGCTCCATGATGTACTCGGCCTGGGAGTCGACCATGTGCTGGAGGATGCGGAGATCGACAACGGCACCCAGGTTGTCGGCGTTGGAGAGGAAGATGTACTCAATACCGCGGTCCATGAGCTTGTCGATCATGCCGGTGTTGTAGAGAGACTCGAAAACGTCACCGTGACCAGGGGGGTACCAGTTGGCGATGTCGGACTTGTTCTCCTTGGGAGCGGGCAGGAGCGAGTCCTTGAGGATACGGGGGTATCTTGATTGGTTGAAGGTGAGGATGTCGATGTTGTGGCCCTCGTACTTCTTGATGATGCTGGCAGTGTCGGTGTCGGTGTTGAACGAGTTCATCAGGACGAACGGCACGTTGACATCGTATGTGCGGTTGAGGTACTCGATCTGTCGTACTGACAGGTCCAAGAAGGACATGCCATCACGGACCTCGATGACGGACTTGGGGCCAACGCAACCCATGGAGGTACCGAGACCACCGTTGAGCTTGACAACCGCCAACTTGTTCAGGTATTCGACAGCCTCGGTGTTGGCCAGCTCATCGTAGCTAACGACCTGCTCGGCCTTCGGGGGAGCGATGCGGTTCCAGTCAATGGCAGTGCCCTTGGCCTTGTCGTTGAGGTATCGGCGGAACAGAGCGAAGAAGTTGTCCATCTCCGTCTCGAAGTACTGTAGTGGGTCAGTATACGCTCAGAATGACGCATCTCACAAGTGCCCCTCCAAACGTGCCGATAGCTTGCAGTTGCGGGATTACCCCGGGCAAGTGTATTGAGATGTATGGGTTGCAGATGGTGACGGAAAGGGTGTAGAAGGATTGCGACTGACCTTCTTCTCAGCGGGGTCTGTGACGGTGTCGGCGAGCTTGTTGAGCGCATTGCGCATTTGCGAGGCGGCGACATTGGTGGATGTGTTCTCGAAAGCCTGTAAAGTTGTCGTTAGTTGATTGAAATCGATTTGGAGAAGTTGGAGGTATTGAGACGGTACGTGTTGTCACCACGACATCACTCCCGCGGGGAGTAGGCGATGCGAATGCGGGGTGAACTCTTCAGAACGACAGCGAACACCAATTCTGATGGATCACCTAATCCTCTCGCAGGTAATCGCGTTGACCTATGGTTAAGCGGCGTGTTGCGATCGGCCAGCAATCGTTGCCAACTCAATGCCAGCTCTCCTCGGTCCCCACTATAACCCATGTCGAGACAACGGGAAGCGGTGAGGATAGCTGCGTTCGCTGTACAACAAAACCAATGCAGGTACGCAGCACTGAAAAAAGCAAGACGCACGCCGGGAAACTGCAGAAACAGAGCGAAAGATTACTTACCACATGGGACTGCGACTTGCCGTGATGGCGTTGGGATGAGAAGCCACCCTCGCCGCCCTCAGCAGCGGAGGGCTTCAAGTGAGAAGGAATCGCGCGAGATGCCATCGTGTAGTTGTGAGGAGAAAAGAGGTTGTCCCGTGAGGAGAGAGTGGTGTAGGGGACAACAAGTGTTGGGGAGCTGGTCTCCTTAAAGGCAATGGGTCGCGCTTGGCGTTGAACGTGGGGCAAGTCGAGAACAAGCTACGGCCTGGTAACGAGAACAGGCTCGGGGTTTGATGGGGATGGTGAAGAGACGGTGTGAATTTGCCTTTTATACATGCAGGTCATTGCCGCTCAAGTACTAGAAGGGCAGTTACGACCGCAGCATCTCTGCATGGCAACAGCCACGCCACCAATAGTTCCTGCCCACGACGAAGTTTTGATACTTGTTTTCACACCACCAGTGCAGCCATTACACCTCCTGTATAATGGTTGAGTTAGTAGCTATTTTCAGCCAGGCTATTCTGGTATCAGATTACAGCCTTCGAGCTGTTCCACCCAGCTTCTCACTCAGCTCTCACTCAGATCTGACCACGTTACTGTATCGTGGCTTCACAAAGGTTACACTTCCAAGTCCTCACACCATCCCGCGTCTGCCCGAATCAACAGTGACTATCGAATGGCTGCGCGGCCGCCTATCTGCTCGACCTCACGATGCACAATTGTTGAATAACTTTTCGGAGAGCTATGTCGATAAATTGAAAAGCCCCTCATCTGGCCGCCGCGCTAGCAGGGGTCTGCAGTCAGTTTGACGTCGCCCCGAGACCGCTCTTCCGACTTGCTCCCCAACAATCTTCCCCAGGTGGGAAAGTTGCATTTTTTTTCCACAGTGGCGACTGCGCGATGCAACGCGGAGGCGAAATGCAGCGGGGTTTCGGGTGATCAAGGTCTTTTGCATCTGCATAGCGCGGAGCAGCGACCTGAAGTGAAAGATAGTGGCTGCAGAAGTGGAAAGTGGCAGTGGCGCAGGTACACGTCTGCATCGCTTGGACCACGTGGGGGATCTTCTACTACTAAGTCGGTGTATTCACAAAACAACGGTGCCCATGCTCGACAAAAGCCTCAATAACGCCCATGTTCACCATCCCTAGCCGTGTTGAAACTATGCGGGCCTGTCATCGACACGACTTTCAAATCCTCGACTACACCCTGTCATTGCAATACTCCCAACAACAAGAATATCATTCGGGTGTCCTAATGGCCCTGTCTGTAGGTACTCGCGATACCAAGAACCGAGATGGCAGAAGCTTCTAACAAGCTTAGACGCTTGGCGGTTCCCGATTTCACGCCGTCAGGCTGTAAGACAGGGACAGCTATTGGAGTGGAGACTGAATCGGTACCGGTTGCGCTAACGGACCTCCCCTAGCATAAGTCAGGAACAGACGTCGTTAGCTGTTCCCGTGGCTGGCGTCGAGAAAACCTGCAGACGTTTCCACAGTCACGGCGGCGCTTTGACTCGCTGCGGCAGTTTGCTAGTAACACCACCCCACCCTAGCTCGACCGTACGGGTCGTGTTATCTCGACGGCTGGCGCATCTGCGAAGGGTACCGCATGAGGCTTGCTAACTCTCAGCTTGATCCACGCGTTCTGGTCCGCCTCTTCTGTGAAGAACCTTTGTCTAAGCTCGTCGATCAACCATGCAAGCAGGCTCTCGATCGTTTGGAATGTAGAGCTAGATATTAACTGCGCTGGTCAGTCGGTGTGCACGCATACATTGTGTTGTGCATACCTCGAATAAGAAAGTCTCTAGTTGAGGGTATCCCTCCACACGAGAATCAGCCATGTTGTCAACCCAAACATTGAGGACCACGGGCTGTTTCTGCAGCCTCTCATTGGAGTTGACGCCAATCAAGCACGGGATTCGGACGTTGTGCAGGTACAGTACGTTCGAGCTGGTGCCGGTCCCTTCAATGCGCGAGGTGATGTGTCCAGCGCCTTCGCCGAACATACTGCCTTTCAGGTAGCAGACATTAGTCTCGATCGCATACACATCTGTCGAGCCTGCAACATCGCGAACGCATTGAGAGACAGCAGTTGATAGAGCGACAGTCGACATCCAGGCCATGGAATCATCTTTGAAGCGCGCTTGTATCGCCTTGCTGAGCGTACCGTAGTGAACAGTGCTGTCATCGACGGAGTCTGTGGAAGAAGCTGACGTGAACTGCTTTCCAAGCGTCAACGTGACACTGATCAAGGCCCGCTGCTTTTTCTCACGTCCCCAAACGTCTTTCCCTGCATTCACGACGACCTCGAGATTCTGGACCATGATCTTGTCATAGTGTCCACTGGAAGCTACTTCAGCCTCCCACTGGGCCTGACGAACAACTTGGCTCATGGCAGAAGCTGGTTGGTGGGTCTGAAGAGCGGTGTTGGTCCCAAGATGGACAGAGCGTATCGTCGAGCAGCAAAGTAAGTGTATGGAACACGTTTAACTTATTGAAGATGTCAGCACAAAGTACCTGTTTGATCACATAGCAACTATGCTAGTCGACAAAGCGTGTTAATCAAATATCGAGTTTGCGATGAACAAATGCATTGTCCTCTTCGATTTCTTATTCATTCCATCACCTGACATGTAGAAGGTTTGCGCACGAAGAGGGCTGGAGCAGGGCTGAAAGAGGGCGCAGATGGTACTCACCAGGCTGAAAGTGAGTTGGGTGAGGCTCGTGGTGGGGTATATGACGAGCGCCCTCCAGATGTCTGCCGCACGGACGTTCCCGCCAGAGCTCCGCAATCGAACATTCTAGCTACACATCAAACTATAATTCAGAGCCTGTCCCTCGCACGCGTGGTATCAAAAGATTCGCAGTCACACTACAGAATCACCCACACGCATAATACCTTCACCATGGCCGACGCACTAAAAGCAGAGGGTAACAAGCTCTTCGCAGAGAAGAAGTTCGCCGAGTCCATGTAGGGTCCCCGCAAACACAGCCTAGCGACAGTTTACTAACAAATCCCAGCGAGAAGTTCTCACAGGCAATCGAACTCGACCCCTCAAATCACGTCCTCTACTCGAACCGATCCGGCGCATATGCCTCGTTGAAGGACTGGCAAAAGGCGCTCGACGATGCGAACAAGGTTACCGAGATTAAGCCAGACTGGGCCAAGGGCTGGGGGCGCAAGGGAACGGCGCTCCACGGCGAGGGTGACTTGGGTATGTATACAGCGTTCCTAAGAGAGATAATGTCGCTAACAGCCAACAGTGGCAGCCACAGAGGCCTTTGAAGAGGCGCTCAAGCTCGACCCAAGCAATGCTCAAGCAAAGTCAGGCCTCGATGCCGTCAAGCGCGCAGTCGAAGCCGAGGCGAACGACAGCGGTGTAGGCCTCGGTGGCATGTTCAACGACCCCAACATGATCCAGAAGCTCGCGGCGAACCCGAAGACCGCCTCCCTCCTCGGCGATGCAGAGTTCATGGGCAAGCTCCAGCAGTTACAGAAGAACCCGAACATGGCTGGCCAGTTCATGCAGGACCCTCGTTTCCTGTCCGTCATGAGCGTGCTACTAGGCATCGACATGTCTTTCGGCCAAGGCCCCGGTGCTGGAGGAGCAGGCGATGCTAGCGCGAAGGAGGCTGAGGAGGACGTCGATATGCCCGATGCGCGACCAGCTCCCGAGCAACCGAAGAAGGCGCCCGAGCCCGAGCCCGAGCCCGAGCCCGCAGAAGAGTCTGAAGAGGACAAGGCTGCGAAGAAGGCAAAGGCTGAGGCGGACGAGCTGAAGAAGAAGGGCACCGAGTTCTACAAGAAGCGACAATTCGACGAGGCTATCGAGAACTACAACAAGGCCTGGGAGACACACAAGGACATCGCATACAAGACCAACCTTGGAGCCGCCAAGTTCGAGAAGGGTGACTACGAGGGCTGCATCCAGGCTTGCAACGAGGCTGTCGAGTATGGTCGCGAGATCCTGGCAGACTTCAAGATCATCGCCAAGTATGCTATGCCCATTTTTACACAGTCCATCTGCTAACACACGCAGGGCCTTTGCACGTATGGGTACTGCATACGAGAAGATGGGCGATCTCGCCAACGCAATCAAATACTACCAAAAGGCACAAACCGAGCACCGCACACCCGAAGTCCTCGCAAAGCTTCGTGCAGCAGAAAAGGCCAAGGCCAAGCAAGAGAAAGAGTCGTACATCAACCCCGAAGAGGCCGAGAAGGCCCGTGAGCTCGGCAATGCCAAGTTCAAGGAGTCCAACTGGCCAGAGGCTGTCGAGGCATACACTGAGATGATCAAGCGTGCACCGGATGACCCAAGAGGATACTCCAACCGGGCTGCCTGCTTCATCAAGCTGCTAGAGTTCCCATCCGCGGTACAGGATTGCGACGAGGCCATTAAGCGCGACCCCGACTTCATCCGAGCCTACCTGCGAAAAGCTCAAGCCTACTTCACCATGCGCGAGTACAACAAGTGTATTAACGTGTGCGCGGAAGCTATGGAGCACGACAAGGACGGCAAGAATGCACGCGAGATCCAGCAACAGGAAACCAAGGCTCTACAAGCACAGTACTCGGCACGCGAGGGCGAGACGGAGCAACAAACCATGGAGCGCATCCAGCGGGATCCAGAGGTATGTCATTTCGTATAGTATATGTATAAAAACATGACTAACACATAAACTAGATCGTCGGCATCCTCCAAGACCCCGTCATGCAAGCCATCCTCCAGCAAGCCAAGGACGACCCAGCGGCTCTGCAAGAGCACCTGAAGAACCCCAGCATCCGATCCAAGATCCAGAAGCTAGTGCACGCCGGTGTCATCAGGATGGGACGTTAAAAGCAACTCCCTGATGGCACCCGGGTTCTCCTTCATGCTGTTATCAAAAAAGATGATTTCAAAGCATGAGCTCGATGATGCTTTCAAACACCTTTTCACGGATGACGTTGAACGATTTCTTCGAAGGTGATCAGTTGCAGTTTCACACACACACACCTTTTTGTATGTTTATATAAGGCTTTTTTTTACTATCTGCATAGCGTTTAGGTAATGAAATGTTGACGATTTCCTCCTGTTCATATAGTACTTCTTATGACAAAAGGGAATTGGGATGACATGAACATGGGTACATGTATTGTGTTAGAGAAACTGAGCTATGTGCGGAGCAGACTCGATGCAAAAGTTCAAAGTATACATCTTCGCTAAGTTTCTCCCCATTCAAACCCGGCCTTCTCACGGATACGTGGAAGAAACAAGCCAAACACCCTACGCCAAATCCCTTATACTCCCCTGGAGCAATCCCACTAAATACTCTACAATCCCTTCTGCAACAGAAGAAACACCACAATCACCATCCTATACTACTCCCCGCATCCATTTCCTCATAACCCACTAATAAAATCCAACAACCTCAACAACGCACCATTCTCAACTCTACACCCCTCACCCTCCCTCTGCGCGCGCCTCAACCCCTGCGCCAACCAAAGCCTTATCGTATCCGGATCGAGGTTGCGGAAGTTCTGCTGCCCTATCATGACGAAGGCTTGGGCACAGAGGGTTGTGCTTTCTGAGGGAGAGGGTGGGGGCTTGGTGGAGCAGGATGAGCATTCTAGGGTGTTTGTTGGAGGTGGCGAGGTTGGAGTTGGCGGATCGTTGCAGCAGGGTGGGGGGCCGGTAATCGTGAGGGTTGTTGTGTTGGTGACTGTGAGATGACTGTCGAGGGATGGGTCTTTGGTGGATGTTGAAGTTGACGTTGGAGATAGTAACGAGATGTTTGACTGCGTAGACGACGGCGACGGCAGGTAGAAAGAAGATCCGCTCAGGAAGGAAAGGTCGCTCATGTCTGGGACGTGGACATCAGGGTAGCTTGCTAGTTGTGGGTCGATGAGCCGATCTGGCTGGATGGATGTGAGGGCTAGCAAGGAGGTTTGCTGACTGGACGTCGTTCCTACTCCTGGCATCTCTTGACTTGTACATGTCGATATATCCACATCGTCTCCCTCTACAAATCTTTCTCTTTCTCCGCCTTGATCGTTGCTGATGTCCTGTCGTTGTAGTCCCTGCTGCTGCTCGCCCGTCACACATCCCCCAGCTTTCAAAACGGCAATCTCCGCCCTCGCCTCCTCAAGCAATTTCTCAGTTTCAGCGAGCTTCTGCTCCAAACTCGCAACATGATCCCTCTGTCTCGCGCGATGTCGCCTCTGATTCTCGCGCACGCGATTCAACGTGTGCTCTGCTGAAACGCGTGACCTGCGGCCGCCTCTCGTCGCGGCGGTATCGGAGGTGTTGTGGTCTGACGCCGATGAGGATGTGGGTGATGTTATCATTGTCATGGTTGCTGTAGATGGATTCTTGGTGTTTTGGTGGTTTTCACAGATGAAGTGCTTTGGAGGATTTTGCGCACGGAGATGCTGGGCGGCTTCGAGAACGTTGCCTGGATGGTGATGAGGCATTGGGTGTAGGAGCTTGGCGGTGACTAATCGACGATGATTGGCTGGTGGGGATCTTGAAACGTGCTTGACGTTCAGGGTTGTCAGAACATGAGCAGATGGAAAAGTTGGGCCGAATGGATTGTAGCAGTGATGTTGTTCGGTATGAATTGCATATTTGTTGGGTTGACTTTTGAAATTTGTTCGAAATTACGTTTGACGTTACTGACATGTGTAGGTTGTTCCTTGTTGACAATCTTCGACAACTTCGACGTGGGAAGGTATGTATGTCCAAACTCAATAGTTCCTGTAACATCATACCAAGCCCCGTAAGAAAAGCTTGATGCGATGATCCATCCAATCCACATCCTTCGGGTTCGCCCCGCCACCCGCAATATGTCCCCAGATACTAGGCACTATCTCCACCGTCGCATCCTCCAAGCTCTTAGCTTCCTTCTCGCTGACATAAGGGCGGAAGTACTGGTCGTATTCGCACGGCATCAGCAGAACCTTTGCTTTGATACTTTTGAGTGCTGACTCAAGATCCTCCGCCTTAGTGCACCGAGTGATATCGCCGCGCTGCCACATACCCAGCATCACTAGAAGATCATCTCCAGACCAACCCTCATAACCCTGGATAGTAGCCACATCATCCCAATCTCGCAGTTGCTGGAAGCCCATCTCTTTGTAGCATTCTTGGTCGAACCATTCGGCGCTTGTCAGCCACGCGGAATATGCCTTTCCAAATGCCCTGATACCTCTCTCAGGACTCTTTGCACTTTCCAGCGCTGCTTTGGGTCCTTCGAGGAACTGGAAGTTGTGCCTGCTTGTTTTCGCGGAGGAACATACGATTATAGCGTGCTTGATGAATTCAGGGTAAGCTGTCACCCAATGGTACGTGATCTGCCCGCCCATCGAGAATCCCAGCATGACATCTACCTCTTTGATACCGAGCTCTTGGGTAAGGAGAGAGTATTGAGCATTAATGCAGTCCATGTACTCAAGAGTATTGGGAAAGGAGGGTGTGTTGGAGGGACTAGAAGACTCGCCATTGCCGAGAAGAGCGATGAGAATGATCTTGTGGTTCTTCAGGGCGGCATTGGCGTGTGTCAGGGTGGTGTCGAGACGGCCTTTGAAGCATGTGTGTACAACCGCTATCTTGCTGTTGTGTGGGTTGAGGATCTTGTAGGCCAACTTGAGTTTCGGCAGTGTAGAGCCATTGTGGAACTTGAAATCGGAGATTTCGTAAGTCTCGAGCGGCTCGGAGCTGGGTTGGGACGACATGTTGTGATGCAATGGAAGAGACGGCAGAAGCTATGGAGATGAGGGAAAGATGAAGTTTCGCGGGGTACTGAGCTGAGGGGTGGCCTTCAGAGCGCCGATGCGATGACGATAGTATGGGGCTTTCTTCGTCATTGGCGCATGGTAGAGCCCCACTTGCGGCTCTGAGACCGCGGTTTGGTGTTCGTTGGAAGTCTAATGTGTACTTTATTCATCCATCGGCCAACAACGGCTCCTATGCTGCTTTAAGGAAGCATGGAAGCGGAGAGACGTGCTGATGGAAATGAAGATGGACAGTTCCTCCTTCTGTGCATCGTATGCCCCAGCAACGCAACGGTTATATACCGTAGAATCGTTCACTGCATGTCTACCAAGTTCTGCAAGTTTCCTCCTGGGGTGTTTGTTGGATGCTGATTTTGGGTTGCGCCACCAACGGCTTATAGTTTGGTAGATGAGCGCTCATCTTAATCCTACCATGTCGGCACACCTCTGCATATCGGTAAAGGCCATGTGGCCAATAGCGGAGGACCAAGGCCGCTAGCGTCTGAAGTAAGCACCGGTTGTTCGTGCTGCATCGCGAGACGCGCTCCAGGGAAAAGTATTTGGAGTGTTGTCAAAGGTACCATGCTTTCGTCTGGAATTCTTGCGGCCATGTTGTTCGTTCGTGAAAGCGGAACGTCAAGGCTTCCGTTCCGAGTATATTTAGACGTCGGCCAGGTGGCACAGCCGAGGCTTGAGGTACGCTAAGCAACCGCTACCCCTGTCGCGCCTTATCAACTCCAGTGTTGTTTCGGGCATAGCCCATCCTGTGGTCTTCCCCTTTGGGAGACACTCAATAGCCTTGCAAGCGAGGTATGGTTGAGCAGTTGGAGGTTTGTTGTTGTTGTTGTCGCCGTGTACCTCAGGGGGTTGTCGAGATGCGCATACGAAGAGGAGAGTGAAACACATGCCACGCACGTCATGACGATCTTGACAAGCTGGGGCCAGGATCTACGTAGAGTAAGACGTTGGGCATAGAAGACCGGGCAGTGCTGGTGGTGAGACGACAATGGAAATAGATATGGAGAAGTCATTGTCGATGCACCGGATACAACAAAGTCACTACTTGAGCCGCACCCAGACTGGAGGCGTTGCCGCCAAGGGAATTATATGCGACCGCATGTGGTAACTGGGTGAATGTAGGACCGAGTGCGCGGCGCACAGACGGGATCTGGTGGGCTGAATGTGGGGTGTTGTCGACATTGGCGCTGCGAACACGAGACATTTGCAGGCGGCCGTTTCCAAGCATGGCCAAGCGAACAAGAATCGCAATTTCGCTGTACGGCTATACGCAAATCTTGCTCGTGTAGAGAACGCCCGAGGCAGCAGACGCGAAAGGAGTTTAGGATACCGCTGCAGGCTTGCAACGATAAGCGGGCGGCGCGCAATTAGCTTCGACCCTGGGCAATTTAGCTGATAAACTACTCCGCAACTACAGCGGCGGTTCCACGACGTTGTTGGGTGTCCTGGCCGGTCCGCATTTCTGTGGCTTTCCTCCCATCAGCCTTTCTTTTCACCTGTGTATACCTGACGGCGGCATTGGTTCTTCGCATCAGGCAGTTTCATGTGGCCGGACCCTGTTAGAGAAGTGACAGACTCTCGGAACACTTTGGCCAGCCCGTCGCTGCCGCCGCCAATAATCAATTAAGCCCAAGGGACGGCAAACACGACACACGCAGCCTCGAAGCCAGGCACGCGATCACCCCGACGCGCCTCACCCGCCATTCACGGCGTGCGTTTCCACAACCAACAACCCCTCCCACCGCCAGTGATAGCACCAATCTTGGTCTGCGGGCAGCACCATGGTGGACGCACAGGATGCAGGGAGTAAGCTCTTCTCCAAAAGCCGCTGGAAGACCAAGATCTTCGAAAAGACCAACGAACTCGCCGCCGCCACGCAGCCCAAGACCAAGCCGCCCTCGGACGACCACGACATCAACGACTTCCTCAAGCCCTCGACCGAACGCGCCGCCCAGCAGCAAAAGGACGCCGCTGCAGCCGCCTCAGCCTTTCTCCGACCCCGCATAGACGTTGCGAGCGCCCAGCGATGGCCCGGCGCACAGACGATACTGAACAGCGCAGCTGCTGCCGGAAGAAGCCCAGGGCCCGGCGGTCTGAAGACGGGCACGCGCAAGAAGGGCTTCACCGTGAGCTTCGTGCGCACAGTCCCTGAAGTCATAGGCCACGGCGGTGACGAGTGCGAGGACCCCGTTGTGGAAGTTGCGAAGAACAAAAAGGCAGCGACGGTCCCGGAACCGGAGAAGGTGCAATCTCAGGTGCCGCAGGACGATGCAAATCTAGGAGCGCGCAGCAACGGAATAGGCAGGACCCCCTCGCAAACCGAGTACAGGACAAACCTCACGAGGACACGGACGAACCCCGGCGAACTATCTCCACCACTCGGCCAGAAGATGCAGATGGGCCAGATCAACACCCACGCTACGCAACTGCCACCAACGCCCCCGCGCTACATGGGATCTATGGGCTTGGGAGAGCGACCAAAGGGACTCTCCAGGGCACCCACTGGCTTTGACGGAATACCAGAGCCTATATCAATTCCCCCCGGAAGGCGACCCAGCACCAGCGAGGACTCGGTCTACTCCCAGGATTCGGACAATCTCTCACCTGTCATGTCGAGGAATATGTCAGTACGAGAACCCACTATCCAAGAAGAGGACGACTTCCAGCCAAAGCCGCTTAAGCGCACACAGACTGGCTTCAGTACCCTGGGTGACGACGATCTACCATCGCCGGTGCATGCGATACCTTCGGTGCCCAAAATGCCAGAAAGACATTTGGCTGAGCAGGAGGACGACGGGCCGAGTTCGTTTGCTGCGAGGGTGAAGCAGAAGATGCGATCGGAAGAGGGCAGAACACTGCATGAGGCGTCGCAACGGGCAGCCTCAGGTCAAAGACGGGACTCCGAGACGAGCTCCCAGCAGTCCCTCGTGGGCACACCCCCGTCTTCATATGCCACACCAGCCGCAGCCAGGACACCTCTAGAGACACCACTGTCGGATTCTAGGGGATCGCCACGCATGAGGCTGGACACTGAGGACCCTCAACGATCCAGAGCTCGTGGACCCTCTCCAGGACGGCCTGGAGCGCAATCACCACCATCCGCGTCCAAATCACAATATGTGGCATTTTCACCCTCACAAACACGTGCCTCTCCTGCTGCACGGTCGGACCCTTTTGTCAACACAAATGTACAGCGAATCCCTTCGATTAAAGAGAACGCCCTTTTCGGGGCTCTTGACGACAGCCCAAACCTCCCAACTCCACCCCAACTTCCCCCGAGTACATCCTATTTCTCGTCTGCTCAACCTCAATTGCAACCTTCTTCACTTCCCCAGCCTCTAGCAATCTCAGGACCTCCCAGCCAGTTGCCATCTCGGAACGTATCTGGTGCCAGTACCAGCGCCAAACCTGCAGCATCTCTCGCTCGTTCAGATACCAGATCTGCAAATGATTCCGCGTATCGGGATTTTGCCGAGCGCATTACGCATATGAGAGGCATCTTCCAGCTGACAGCTCAGCTCGGGGGCAACCTTAACAACCACTCGCCGATGCAATGGCTCCGCGTTGCTACTTGGTGGTTCTTGAAAGGACGTACTGGGATGGAGAATCTGATCAGAAGTCAACCGAAGTCTGCCGAGCCAATTCAAGAGCGACTGGCTCAACCACATGTCGACCTGGCCAAAGTGTGGTGGATCATCTCTGAAGTCCTTCCGAACCACCCCAGCTTACAAGGGTACGGCAACGCGTCTCCCGATGCGCAAGTCGAAGTGGCAAGACAAGCCGGAGACCATGCAAGTGCGGAGGTATTTGACATACAGAATGCGATTGCTCACTACCTCAAACTGCTTGTCGGGTCGATGAAGAAGCACCAGAGCATGCCTCCGACGCAAGCTCTTATCCAGGGACAAGACCAGAAGATATGGGAGGAGTATCCGACATTCCCCGCAGACGCGGCGAGCGTGCTGACCTCAGGGCTTCCTGTTGCTAGCGGCGGCCAGTCGCAGTTTAGCCTATCCCAGTACATACCCCTTTCTGACACCAAGACCGACTTCTGCTACTTCCGTATGTTCGTAAAAGCCTCAGTGTCGACCGATGACCCTGCCACCGACCGCGTACCGATGGATGCTGTCATTTCTGTAATGCGGTCCAAAGAAGAATACCAAGTCAAACTGGCCATTTGCAGCCAGAACAGTCTTATCAATCTTCTGGTGGGCTCCGGCTCAGTACTTGGCTGGAAAGATGTCAACTGGAAGCAGCAGGCGTCGCAACTCACTCTCCAACTAAAGCACGGATTCGTTCTGACTCTGGCGCTGCACGAAAGTGACTTCCGTAGTCTCTGGTCTATTGTCAACCACACGAACCGAGTCGAATCAGACCTACGAGAACGGAGAGACGAGCGTTTTGCTTGCAAGCTGTACCTCCAAGAGGCAAGCTACAGGGATCCTGCAAACCCATCAGCATGGCCAGGCGATCGAATTCAAGGCTGCAAGCTCATGGTGTTCCAAAGGATCGAACGAAGTAGTGAAGGTACAGGCAAGCGGAAACTGCACCGGGGCTACCGTATGGTTCTGGTCACGCCACAGCAGACCAAACAAGTCAGCTCGATCAACCACGAGCTCGGAACAAAGCAGGAACCGATGAACTTTGAATATGTGACCGAAGCGAACCAAGCTCCGGCGCTAAGACTACGATTCCGTGAAGAGGGTGCGGACAAGAAGCTAAGGACATGTGCAGCTCACCTTGTTTTCCAGAGTGGTAGGGATCGCAATGACCTCTTTGGCACTTTCACGTCCATGAATGTCGCAGAGGGCGAGACTACATTCGCCCAAGTAGCGCTCAAGGCTTTTCACATTGAGAGTGCGGATCAGTCAGAGGGCTTTACTTCGCAGGGTAGTCGGGTGCTTGAGAAGCTGCAGTGGGTGGAAGCCAAGGTTATGAACCTGGACCCAGAAGCTGCAGGATTAGAATCAGCACCCACTGTCAAGAGTGAGAGTTTGAGGATCATGTGTCGACACACTGCTGGTATCATTTCTGACCGCATGAACTTGGGTAGGTTGGGTCTTATCGGATGAATAATGCG